ATAAAACTATATTAATTATTCTTTAATAATTAAGATTTGCTATGGTTGTTTGGTAGTTCTGCAGCTCAGCAGCACATAAAGAAAAGCCGCCACTGCTAAGGTCTAACATTCTGTTTCCTCAATCTATGTATTATATCAACTATTTTGAATATTACTGATGCATTACTGGTACATGACAATATGATTATCGGAATGACGTAAAGTTACCTTCAGAATTTAGAAAAACGATGATGAGAACAAGAACCTTGATTCCGTTGTGTTTTTATTCACTTGTTACGCGTGTCGGTATAAATGTATATTTGATTTTAACTTATCAACTATATCTTAAAAATGCTTGATTTGAAAACAAAGTAAAATGGGAAAATTCCAGTGGTTGGCGGTAGACCATAATTTAAAAAAACTTACAAAGAAGTAAAGACTACATTTTATTAAAATATAATTAAATTTATCTAAAAGGATTAAATTTATTTATTCAAAACGTTTTTGGTCCAATCAGACCATCATCAGTAAAACGTGAAAGTATATTTTTACTTAAAATAGGTAAAATTTTGACTGCTAAATTTCTAAACATAGGGCTGGGACTCTAGGCTAACTACAACTAAAGAAAAAGAACTATAGAACAAAAAGGTGAAGTAATATCTACGGGTAGACCAACATACTGGCCTTACCGATATAAACAAAATTCCAGATCTGATAGATTTCATTATTTATAAAAATATCTCAGCTAACTATCTGGATATCAATGACGGTTAAAACACGAACTCTGATCACTCACCGATAATTTTAACTATAAGTGATCATCATCATCATCATCTTTGGCTCGAAAATCCTGTGTGGAACTTGGCCTGCTCTAAGATTCGTCGCCATTCTGTTCGGTTTCTGGCAACATGTTACCATCTTCTGATTTTTAATATCCGTAAGTCGGTTTCAACTCCATCTTACCACCTAATTCGCGGTCGGCCTTTGCTTCTTCTTCCTACAGGTGTTCCTGTGGTTAGCTTTTTAGCAATGTATTTTCTGGCATCGTATTATGTGTCCAGCTCATCTGGCCCAAGTCGCTGTGTTTTAATGAATGTTATGACATCTGGCTCATCAAAGAGCTAATACAATTCAAAATGATATCTTCTGCGCTACTGCCCTTGGTCATTTATAGCTCCAAATATTTTGCGGAGTTATTTTACGCTCAAATATTCCCAAAAGTCTTTCATCTTTCTGCGTTAGAGTCCATGTTTCTGCTCCATATGTGAGGACCGGCCTAAGCAATGTTTATCTTCCGACTTCAACTATAAGTGATACAGTGATCAAAAAATAGTTCAATCCAATATTGACTAATAAAAAAACTGACTGGTAGAGCTTCAAAATAAACCTTGAACACAAAATTAATCTTGATGTGCCATTGAAAAACACGAGGTAACTTGATGATGAATTAGAAGTTTTTATAAAAAAATATCCAACAGGTAGCTTGGGAAAATACTTCCACAATAACTTCTAGAACAAAAGGGAACAACTATCCAAAAGAAATCAGAGAACTCATAATAGAAAAAAGAAAGCTAAAAAAAAAATGGCAGCAATACAGAGCTCCATGAGTCAAAACTAGTCTAAATAATGCTACACAAAAACTTAAAAGGGAGATACAGAATATAAAAAATTCAATAATTGATTCCTTTTTAAGTAATTTAACAGCTGATCAGAACACACATTATTCGTTATGGAAGGCAACAGAAAGTATGAAGAGACTAATTATTCATTCTCATCCTATCAAGTTGGAAAATGGCAACAGGGCTAGAAGTAACGAACAGAAAGCAGAACGATTTGCAGATCATTTAAAAAGCACGTTCAAACTCAACGACAATGATGGCGATGAACTCAGATGGGAAGAACCATTCCAAACTGAAAGTTGACACACCTAATAAATGCTGCTTTTAGATTGAGATATGTTCCTAGACTCTGGAAAGTAGCGAAGTCACCAATTTCTTGCAAAAGTAATAAATATATATATATATTTAACAGCCTCACCGAATTGAAATTGTAATGATGATAATCGGTGACGGGGATCATTGCAGAACTAACGTTGAAGTGACAAACTTATTTAATCAGAGGTATCCTCAGATGCCTAATATTTCGCTAAGTACTGTGTCTAAAATTCGTGCATAATTCAGAAAACTTAAAAACCAACGTCATGTTCAGATCAAACTCCTCGTCATAATAATGTGAGTCATACAATATCCCAAGTTGTGTGCGTAAGGAAAAACTTCATCCAGATAAATTGACTTTTGTGCAGGAGCTCACAGAAGACGATCCAGATCGTAGAATGGATTTCTTCGAAAGAACGATGAATAAACTGAACAGAAATGAAATAGTTGCCCCTAAAATTCTTTTTTCTGATGAATCAACATTCAATTGAACGGGGAAAATCCTCATTCGATGCGTGAGACACATAGTCAGCTGATTATATTATTGGTCCTATATTTGTTGATGAATATTTGATAGCCAAAAAATATTTAAACATGGTTAGAGACGAAATTATTCCTTCGTTGGCCAAAGTGGAAAAAGTCTGCTTTAATGGAAAGAACTTACTTAAGCGGAATCTTCCCTAATCAATGGATTGGACGAAGAGATACTTTTTGAGTGGCCAGCTAGATCGCCAGACCTCATGCCCTTGGATTTTTTTCTGTTGGGATATTTCAAGCGAACGTATATTCAACACAGCCAACTAGTATTGCAGACCTCAAATAAAGGATAACTACAGAAATAGGGAATATTTCACTTTTAACTTAAAAGTAGTAGGCGGCTCCCAGCGTTTTTTATAACTTTCTACAGTAAGGACACGAAACTATTTTATTCCGTCGGTGGTTTCCACACCGTGTATATATTTGGCTGTCCCAAAAATATACTTTTAAGATTTTTTATATAGTTAAACTTCTTGTATTGCATAAATATTTATATATAGATTCTAAAATAAAAAACTGTTATTCTATTTTAGCTGTAGATGAAATTAAGCAAGCAGATTTGATTTTAAAATAGAAGATATGTCTCAATATTATATAGGACAATATATTTGGAAACGTTTGCAGGAAAAAACTCGAACAAAAATATAAATCTGTTATTGACTACAAATTGATTCTTATGAGCTCGAATTCTATGGAAAATGTGAATAGCAATCAATGCAGTTTACAAATTTTTTAATGTTTCTAATCAATTTGCTACTTTCACCAATTTAAAATGGGCATTTTTGACTGTGATGATAGTTAATGTATAAATTGTACCCAAAGGTGACTGCTAGAAGTCGTTTAATAAAGGTTTTTCAACAATTTTTAATTTTTTTCCTACCTTCAAAGCTTTTCGTAATATTAACAGGTCTTTCTGTAAAAATAATATTGTTTTCACGTTTATATACAATTCAGACCAGGTAAACTTCTTCTTCTTTAAGTTCCATCTTCTATCGAAGGTTGGAAATCATCATGGCTATGCGGACTCTGTTGACTGCCACTCTAAAAAGTTCTGCACTACTGCATTCAAACCATTCTCTTAAGTTCTTAAACCAGGATATTCTTCGTCTTCCCACATTTCGCTTTCCTCGGATTTTGCCCTGTATAATAAGTTGTAATAATGCGTATTTTTGCCCTCTTATCACATGTCCCAAGTACTCAAGTTTTCGTCTTTTAATAGTTAATATTATTTCCGCCTCATTTCCTATCCTTCTAGTTACTTCCATGTTTGACATTCTTTGAATCCATGATATTCGTAGGATTCTTCTGTAACACCAAAATTCAAAGGCGGCCAACTTATTCAGATGAACTTGTTTTAGTGTCCAAGCTTCCAAACCATAAAGAAGAGTAGAGAACACGTAACATCGAAGCATTCTCAGGCGTAGTGCTAACCTTATATCCCGACAACAAAGAAACTTTTTAAGTTTAATAAATGATGTACGTGCTATTTCAATACGTGTCTTAATTTCTTTGGTTTGGTCTACATCTGATTTTATCCATGTTCCTTAGTATTTATAATTATTAACACTCTTAATTGCAGTATCTTCAATAGTCAATTGGATATTTGCATGTGCAGATTTAGTCATGATCATGTATTTAGTTTTCTTTAAATTTATCTTCAGTCCGTACTCATGACAGCGTTCATTAAGGCGTCGCATTACGTTCTGTAAATCATTGTTGTTATCCGTAATTATTACTGTATCGTCTGCAAAACGTAAGTTATTCAAAACTTCTCCATTGATAGATATACCTTCTATTGAGTCTGAGAGCGCTTCTTGAAATACCGCTTCACTGTAGACATTGAAAAGTAGTGGGGACAGCACGCAACCCTGGCGGACTCCTCTCTGTATTTTGATATTTTCGGTGTACTGGCTGTCAACTCTTACCTTGGCAGTTTGATTCCAATATAAATTAGATATAATTTTCAGATCACGACTGTCAATATTTTTGCTTTTTAATATATCTACAAGCTTTTTATGTTGAACTTTATCAAGTGCCTTTTCAAAGTCTACAAAACATAAGTGCATATCCTGATTCATGTCCATGCATCTCTGAGCCAGCACATTCAAGCCGAACAAAGCATCTCTTGTACTCATACCATTTCTAAAGCCAAATTGTGTGTCACTAATCTCATATTCAAGAGTTTTAACAATTCTGCTGTGAATTATTTTCAAAAATGTTTTAAGTGTGTGACTCTTAAAACTAAACTGAATGTTTTTAATGTCTACCAAGTGTTTCCGTACAAAATACTATTGTTTTCACGTTTATATATTTATAGTTTTTAGAAACTAAAAACTTAAAACATGTTACATTAGATATATACAACATTTAACACAATTTGCTTCTTGCTATGTTTCATATTTCGATTATAAATTCAATGTCAGACCACAAAGACTTGTTGAAACCATCAACCTCTTGGAATTCTTAGATAATAATAGGTTACTGAGAACTCAAGTCTAATAAATTTGGAGATTTATAACGGCATATTAACGTGTTGATTTATGCTTTCAGGTCGGCTACGAGGTGGCCCATCCTGGAGTCGCCAACGATTTTGGCGAAAACAACGCCCAAAAATACTACCCTTACTACCAATGGGTCTGTTTCGTGCTGTTCTTCCAGGTAAGTGACATCCCTACATTTTATTAACCACAGAAACACCGGGAAAATATAAAAATAATATTGTTGATGCTGTTATCAACAATATAAGAAGCTTTAGCGAAACTTATTTCGCAAGTTCTTATCGACCGTTTACTATCTTACGTCCAACACCAACTTTCTCTCAAGTTCAAGAATGTGAACGGAAAAGTTTAATAAACCTTATCGCATGGCGGAAATGCACTAACACTTGTTGCTCAGTAAATTTCCACAGTACAAATTTAATCAATGTTTTGGGCTTTTGAACGGAAAGTTACGTTCACTACGCCAGTTCGATGGTCTCGTTAAAGTTTTTGTTTTTAAAGATTACACCTATCATGTCATTTCCGCTCATTCGAGCTATCTCTAGGAGGAGACAGTATCGTTGGTATAATTTTAACGATAAGTATTTTATTCCAAGGTTGTTTATCAGTGGTATTGGTTTTTTAAATATTTTCTGGGAAAACTAGCACCTGACTTGCAAAATCAAACTATATTTTCATATACAAATCAAACAGATTTATCAAAATATTTTGAAAAGAGTTCGTTGAGATGTTTTTATTAATTTATACTTTGAAGCGAAAAAATTAGTATTTTTTTTAGTTTATACTAGAGAGACATCTAATATCATTATACGTACATTTTATAACTGATGGTAGGATATATAAAGGGTGTGACATTAGTACGAGTAAGTCCATTTACTCATTTATCATAAGAGATACGAAAAAAAAAAAAAAAAATTTACGTAAAAGTTGGAGCTTGTAAGAGTTGACGATTACCGGACTATAAGCCTCATGAGTCATCTCCTAAAATTATTCCTAAAGATAATCCATAGGAGAATCTACAAGCTGTGTGAAAGTCAAATTTCCCCAAATAGTTCGGGTTCACAAATACTGTTGGTACTAGAGGTTGGTACTAGAGAGTATACGCATGTCTGGTTGATTACAGGAAATCGTTTGATAGAGTACAGCACGTCAAGATGATGCAAATACTACAAGAAGCAGGAACCAAGATCTGAAAATAATTAGTATCAGACTAATTGGAATCAGACAGCTAATCTTTGAGTTGAACACAGTGACTATGTGAAAATCATGCGTGGAGTGATGCAAGGTGACACCATAGTATTGGCGGACAATTTAAAAGCCTTACAAGTTTGCCTACAAATTTGCTTCACTTCCAACAATATGGAGCACCTCGCTCCAGCTAGGCACTGGTTGGATACTAATTATCGGAACAAATGGATTGGAAGGAGAGGTCCTATTGAGTGGCCACAGAGGTCACCAGACTTACCGCCACCTGACTTTTTTCTATGGGGTTACCTCAAGTCAGATGTTTATAAAACTCAACCTGCGTCACTTGGGGAATTGCGAGAAAGAATGACTCAAGCATGTCGCGCTATTACTAGAACAAAATATGTCAAAGTTCGTGCAGAATTTGAAAAGAGGCTGTATTATTGTTTACAAAACAACGGAACCCAATTTGAACATTTACTTAATTGACAAGTTTCACAATTATTGCTTCACCCCGTATAATTATTATTTATACCATTGGATAGTATTTTTTTTTATAGTCTTTTCAATGATGTATCACAAGTAGGGGTTTGCAATTTAAACTCTTTTGGTTGTGGTGTCCTAGGGGGTTGATGGGGGTGAGTTCTCTTTCATGTCATTTTAGTTTCCCCTTACTATCCTAGAAACTGTTTCAAGCCTTTTTCGAAATCAGCTTTTGTTCGTAAGATATAGCCCATTGTAAGTTTTAAAATTGATAAACTGTATTGGCCACTGAGAAGTAACCTATTATAGGGTTTGTAGTTAAATATTATTTGAATTTCAGGTTATGTAATAATAAAAACAAAATACCTTTCCTTACAGTACCTTACAGTAAAACCGTATTATTGACAAAACACATGTATAATGCTTATAAAAAGAACGAAATAAAGTAACGGATTTGTCTCATCGTGAGGTTTTGATAATGAATGAATGTCTACCTTCCCCTGTGAGCAGCAACGCTGCAGTCTGTTGAGGGGTGCGGAAACGAAGACCGTGTATACCTGAATGTGTATACGAGGGTGCTCGAAAGTTTTAACACATATAGTAACCTTGATGTAAAAACTGCTGACAAGACCATTATCTGCAAATTGAAGATAAACAAAGCATTCCACCAAAAAATCCACTCTTTTATCAGTCTGGACCAGCACATTTATTATTTTCATTGATTTATTGCACGAATGACCTCTACTTTACACTATTCACAGAGAAATTTCGTAGTCTCGGATGATAAAATGTCTGACAATTTGTTGTACAAAAATAATTAGATCTGTTCATATCCATTAACACATATTTTTGCGTTCATTCTATGTACTCTTCTTTAAAAAGAACTTTTTGTATAGTATTTTCTGCTCGATTGAGCGGCAATTTCTTGTGCAAACACTTTCCAAAACAATATCATTGACATATAATCTCTATGATAAAAACCAACGATTTCGAAATTTTAACAAAAGGTTTGTTGCTCCACCGCAACCTTTTGATTTCTTGCTTGAGTTGCGTGCTCACTCACCTGCTTTTGACTTTTAGGACGTTCACTTCGTTGGGAAGTCATGCGGGATAAATCTATTGTCGTTTTGTGTACAATACTGATTTTTTTTGGCGTTGAAAGTGTGAAATTACGGTTGTTTAAAATCCGGAAATACGTGTCTTTATTGGTTATCCGTTTATTGAATTATGCTGTAATAAAATCAAGTTTTTGTTAAATTTAAGCGATACTTACCAGTTTAACTACGTCGTGGTCCTGAAAACAAATAAACATAAAAAAAATTGCTGCAGACATCAATCACATACCGAGTATATCTTCTTTACGTGCCATTTTCGCGACGGAGGTTGGCAATCATCATGGCTATTCTGATCTTAGATGCTGCCGCTCTGAATAGTTCGTGTGATGTGCATCAGTACCCTTCCCTTAAGTTAAACAACCATGAGATTCTTCTCCTTCCTAGACTTCTATTGCCCTGGATTTTCCATTGTATAATTAATTGAAGTATGCTGCATCTTTTATTACGCATAACACGCCTCAGGTATTGCGCTTTCCAGTCTTAATGGTTTCTAATATTCCCATTCTTTTGTTGACTCTTCTCATGACTTCGTTGTTTGTTACATGCTCGGTCCATGATATCTTCAGGATCCTTCTATACACCCACAGTTCAAATGCTTCCAACTTGTTAGTAGTCGACGCATTAAGCGTCCATGCTTCTATTCCGTAAAGCAGAGTCGAGAAAATAGAACACCTTGCCAGCCTAACTCCCAAGTATAATTTCAGTTTTCTTGCACAAATTAACTTTCTCATTTTATTGAAGTTTGTTCGTGTTTTATTTATTCGAACTTTGATTTCTTTGGAGTAATTGTGTGATTAATTATTGTGCCAAGATAATTATCGTTTTCAACTAAAGTTTTACCGTTAATTGTCAGGCTTTCATCATTATTTTGGGTTTTTGATATATTCATAAATTTTATGTTTATTGATAATCCATATTCTTCTCCATACTCAACTATGTTCATTAGCTTTTGGAGCTCTTGGAGGATGTCTGCTGTTATGACAGTATCGGCCGCATATCTAATGTTGTTAATTGGTGTACCATTGACCTTTATTTCTACTGTTTCTCCCTCAAGAACTTTTTTCATAATTTCTTCAGAATATGCATTTAAGAGTAGTGGTGACAATACACACCTCTTTCGCAATGCTCTTTAATTTTGAACTCTTCTGATGTGTTCATTAATGCGTACGTGTGCCTGCTGTTTATAATATAGAATTGTTATAATTCTAAGGTCATTGTATTGTAATTGCTTTGCTTTGAGGACCTCCATTAGCTCTTTGTGGCGGACTTTATCGAAAGCCTTGTTTTAATCTTTGAAACAGACGTAAATAGCTTGGTTCACATCCAAGTATTTCTTTATTAGTACGTTGAATGCAAAGAGAGCTTCACGGGTACCTACGTCTCTTTGGAATAAAAATTGGGTTTCTTCAATATCCATATCAAGAATTTATGGATGACGTTTAAAAATATTTTAAGTATGTGAGACATCAGGCTTATGGTGCGGTGGTCGGTGAATTCTCTAGCATTTTTCTTTTTTGGGAAACAAATAAATGTTGAGGTCAACCATTGGGTATGCCATCCGACTGATAAATTTCATTAAAGAGCTTTAAGAGGACATCCATGTACTCATTTGCTATTATTTTAAGGATATCAATAGACAGTTGATCTAGCTCTGGGATTTTTCCGTCACTGGTGTTCTTTAGTGCATACAATAATTCTTCCTTTGTAATTTCCATACTTGCATCCCTGTCCTCGAAAGATATGCCTTGTAGGTTTCCTCTTTTGTCGAAGAGCTCTTCCATATATTGCTTTCATCGTTTTAGCTTGTTGTCAGTCGTTATCATAGTATTTCCATTTTTGCTAAAAGAGTTGTGTTGTGATTTCCTTTGTGTAGCCCTGCCATTTGTTTAACCTTTTTATGTAGTTAGTTTGTTTTGCCTCTCTAATCATTTTTTAAATTTCATTGTTAATGATTTTTATTTGTGACTGTCTTTATTCTTGGCTTGTCTTGTTTGGTCCATTCTGCCGAGTATTTCGTCGGTCATCCAGTTGTCTCTCTTTGTTATCGGTTCTTTTAATATTTCTTTGCATGAAACGAGGAGGCAGTTTTTTAATGTTTTTCATTGTTGGATTATCTTGTAGGTGTTAGTATCTAATTTATCAAAGTTTTCGTATATTTTCTGTTGGAATTTATTTTTTTACATCAGCTTATTTCAGATTTCAAACATCTAATTTTGGAGTTCTTTGAGTTTTTCTAATACGTTTAAGCTTAAGCGTGACATTAGCGATTAGTGGGTTATGGTCTGATGTGACTTCTGCTCCTGGATATGTTTTAACTGATTGGATGGTGGTTTATCTGCTGGTGAGCCCCATGTATATACGGTCTCATAGGTAATTTAAAGAAAGTGTTTGTGATTATTAGACTTTGTTCTTGGCAGAATTGTATTAGACGATCTCCTCTATCGTTACGACTTTGTTCTTGGCAGAATTGTATTAGACGATCTCCTCTGTCGTTACGTTTCCCTAGTCCTTGATCTCCCATTATTGTTTCAGCTCTTCCTTTGCCGACTTTTGCATTGAAATCGCCCACAACTACCGTGAGTTCCTTGATCATTGTCATTTTCAGTGAATCTTCAATTTGTTGTTAAAATGTTTCTACTTTATCTTCTGTTGCATCCGCCATTGGCGCATATACTTGGATCAAATTTAGATATGTGTGTGATGTCCTTATTTGTAGTAGCATTCTCTTTTTTGGATTTTGTCCCAATCTATTTCTGAAATTGGGACAAAACTCTCTATTGACTTGTTGACCTCTGTATCGACAATAATTGCTACTCCACGTCTATGCTGGTGGTCATTGTTTTCTGAGTAATATAGATAACGTACCGGTTTCTGTCGAAAGGTTCTGGATGTTGTGGAAATTTTTGTGAATCGCTATCCTCTAAACTAAGCAAAACTGAGTTACAATATTTTTCATATCAGTTGTCGATATATACCGAGTAATAACATATTTTTGTTGTTGTTGTTTCCACAGCTGTAAGTTATTTTATGCCCAAGTAATCCCAACATTTTGGTGTAAACAAATAGTGACAGCAGTATCAACAAGCAAAAAAGTGGTACAGTAGACTATTACTGTATTTCCGTATTATTTACTTCTTTGTTACGGTATGTAAGGAAATGGAATATTCTGAGGATAACTACCTTCCGAACTAATAATCTATTTTGTGCTATATTAATTTTTCCCATCGCTACTTAAATATTCCACTAATATAATGCCGGGAATACACACTGGGAAACTAACTTACATGCCAGTAACTGGTACACTATATATAAAAGTCAAAATCTTTGCAGCTGTTTACTTATTGTGTTCATTTTACAGGCCATAGCGTGTTATACCCCTAAAATATTATGGGACATGTCAGAAAACAACTTGATGAGGACTCTGGTCATGGGACTGAACATCGGAGTGTGCCAAGAGAAAGAGAAAAACGCCAAAAAGGAAATAATTTTAGGATACTTGATGGATCACGTCAAGGTGAGTAAATTAACTTTTAGGCGAATGCCAAAATGTAACTTAGAAAATGGAGGTAGTAAATCAATATTTATAAAATAAGATTCTCTTTTATGTTTGCTGAATGAAATAATACGTTAAAATGTCTATCTATCTATTTATAGCCCAAAATCTATTCATGTGTTGAATATAGGCCTCTCCCATTTGTCTCCATTTGTCTTCTCCACATTTTACCTGCGCTTTGCTCAATGTCATCTTTCCCTCTCATTTGCGGTCGACCTCTTGACCTTTTTGCAGTATATGGTCTCCAGCGGCCAATTTCTTTATTCCATCTTACATCCTGATATCTTTCATTATGCCAGCCCATTTCCATTTTGATTTCAATGCATGTTCGACAGCGTATTCCTCTTTATTTGTTCTCATCGTATTTGTATTATTATTGTATATATGTTTTATTATATCAATTGTTATCATGTCAACTCCTCTTTCCTTTAATGTTCTCTATACGTCCTTTCTTTGGATTGTGTCAAACGCCTTTTCCAGATCAATAAAGCATATATGTATTTCTCTATTTTTATTGATCACTTTCTCACTTACTTGTCTTATTGTGAATATGTGGTCTTGTGTGCTTCTGTCCTTCCTGAATCCACATTTTGTATCTTCCATAGTTGGTTCTATTTGGGTTTTTATTCTTGTTTCTATTATTCTTGCGAATACCTTTCCAGGAATACTTGATATAGTAATACCTCGGTAATTATTACAGTTTCTCTTGTCGCCCTTTTTGTGTTTTGGTAGTATAATGTCTTTCTTCCAGTCCTCTGGTATTTCTGCTCTCTTTATGATATAATTCATTAGTTTTTTCATGCTGTCCACTCCCTCTATTCCTATGAATTTCATCCTTGCCTGGTGCTTTGCTTAATTTAACTCTTTGAATTGCCTTTTCTAGTTCCTCTGTTGTTATGAGTTCTACTTTTTGTTCTTCATTTATTTCTTGTATCTCCACTATGTTGTCTACGTCTGTATGAGTTAGCTCTTTGAAATGTTCTCTCCATCTTTCCATTATTTGGTTTTCTTCTGTTATTACCTTTCCATTCTTGTCTTTATATTCGCCATCATGAGTTTTTTCTTTTGTCTGACTTGTTTTAATGCGCCATAGAAGAGTTTTTGATTTTCCCTATAATTTTTGTCATTTTTAGTCCAAACTTTTCCCATGACCTTTCTTTTTCTGCTTTCACAGCTATTTCACCCTCTTTTCTTTTTTCTTTATATGCCTCATAGTCTTCAGGGCGTCTTGTACTTAGAAAGTTTTTAATGGAAGAAGAATTAGCGGTTGTGGAGTATATACAAGATTTCCTACAAAAATAACGAAAAAATAAATTGCCTTAATCTGACTTTCTCGAAATTGAGCACAATTTTTAGTGAATTTATCGTATTTAACACACAATTGTTTATTCTGTCTGAAATCAAACTTTTTTCTCTTGATAAATACCCATCAACTTATACAGTAGATCCACTTGAATCATCATTATTCCTGTGGGAACAAGACTCTTGAAAAACAAAACCATATTTATGTTCGAATCAAAAGAAAAATCAATCGCTTGTCCCATAATGATGAAAATTATAAATTAATATTAATTGACTATTCCCACGTGAACATTTTCGATAATATTCCGCAGTGCATTCTCATTGATTTTCAATGACTGACAGCTAATTAGCAATATCAATTGGCATTATTACCTTTGCGGTACAGATTTACGGCTCAATTGTTGGTTTTTTGTTTCTAGAATTTATGTTGTATTGAAAACCATATAAGACAAATTAGAACAGCGCGTTTAACGAGTCTGGGTGATTATAATTCCAAATGGGTACTAGATCGGTTATAAAATGTGGTCGATCCCCTTGTACTACTTCTTAGATTTTATAGACTTTAATGAAATGGTTTCTCAGTTTTTAAACCAAACAGAAAGTGTGCTATAACTGCGGCGACCATATATATCTTTTGAAAAAAAAATGTACAAAAATACAAAAATGTAGTAAAAACACAAAATGAATCTTTTTATTGAACAATCATAACTTTTTGGCATTAAAAATAAAGAATAAACTATGCTAAACATTAAAACAACATGTTGCTAAACAATAAAAAATTATATCAATTAAACTAAACATTATATTAACTTTGAAAAAGTGAAAATCACGTAATTAAGAGTTTTTATATGAGGGACCTGGAATATCATCATCTTCTTCCGGTTTTTTTGTACCATTCATATTTTTCGGAAATAACTTGTAAGAACCCATTTCTATTATCTCCAGTTAAACTTCTTTTCAAGAATACAGAATTATTTATTCCTACCTGATAGGTACCTAAAAAAAAACATATCCAAGAAGTATCACGAAATTGTCAGAATTTAAAATCTAAATTTCAAATTGAAAATTTTCTTTTGGTCGAGAGAACTTTTTGTGTTGTCACCTTGTTAAATAGCTCGAGTCAGTGGCATCTGCCGTTTGGGCCCTGTTACACTTCAAGATTACTGTCGCTGATCATCCGGTTTTTGTGCCCAAGAATGGTTTTAAAGAGCGATGCTCTCTAGAATCGTGTTGGAAATCCACCAAATCAGAATCGTACTGGACCCAGAGGTTACAATTATTTTACAAATAAAAATTTCAGTTGAATGGTTGTAAAACATTTTTTGGGACCTGTTTCAAACTGAGTATTTTATAAAAATTAATGGAAAATCCTAGTAGTTGGCTGTATACCATCGTTTAAAAAAATATACAGCAGTAAAACACTTCACAATTGTATTTTGGTATAAAAACATATAGTTAAAACTTTTAAAAGTGTCGTCAAAATTTATATAGTGGCAAAAATTAATTCTAAAGCTAAATTTAAATTTGGAATGATGTAAACCCATATATGGATGTCACAGCCACAACTTTATTGTTAGCTTTAACTACATAAGGCACTGAGGATGATCTGATTAGATCGAAAACGTTATGCCACTATATAAATTTTGACGACACTTTTTTAAAAGTTTTAAATGTTTTTATGTTTAATGTTTTTATACCAAAATACAATTGTGAAGTGTTTTAACTTCTGTATGTTTTTTTTGAATATTTTATATATTTCGCTTCATATATTTTTTCTTTTAGTTTTCAATGTCAATGATTGAAAATAATCAAAAAGTCCGAATAAGAAACATCTATATAATTCTAATTAAAATAAAAAACAATCCAACACTGAGGTGACGAAATCAAAATAGTAGTTTAACAAAATAATTACTTAAGGGGAAAAATTGTATGATTTTTGGTGAAAACAATTGTGGAACTACACTTTGTGAAAAAAATAAAGAGAGGGAGAGTTCTTCAGCAAAACTTTTCAGAAATTCTTATGACTAGAAATAATGTTATCTTTTACTATTGCCAGCAAGTCTGTAATAAGAAAGAAACATCCAAGGATAGATTGCTTTTTGTATTGTTTGTCTATCTCTGGGGCTACAAATATTGAAGGGAGGGCAAACCCCTTTTAAGACTCAACTAGCTACGCGCATAGACTCAACACTAATTTTAGAGAGACCCCACTATATTTTTTCACAAAATTCAAATTTGGCGGTCTATATCTCAAGGACAAAATTGTTTTTTTTTTTATGAAACTACACTATGAGATTTTTTAATTTGTCTTATAGTCATATATCATCTTCATCTGTCTTTATCTCAACAGTCTGTGGTCATTGCTCTATGAATACAGATTCCAGATTCCTAAAATTACTACTCTATAAAAGCATTTCACTATCTTACAGTAACTTTTATAGTCTGTTTTGCCCAAAAAGTTGTAGACTTCTTTCTTTTTTCCACCTGTCCATTATTTGCTTAAATTCCTTTTTAATACTTTGTACTAATATGATATCTTCAGTATACGTGAAACAACGAGGAATGTCCCATTGGAAGTTTCATGTGATATGATCCAGTATTCACAAGGACATTGTGATATAAACAATAAACGATGTTGATAGATAGAATACATCTACTTATCAATGACATTCGATATTTTAAAAGTATGCTAAATATTTCATTTAATCTTTGTCGTTAGAATAAATTCATTGATAAAAATATGCCTATACGCTATAAAAACAACGAGTGACAGTATTTAAACTATGTAAACAATATTTCAGATTGGGGTAATCGTATTATAATTTTTTTATTTGCAATTAAAAGTTTTATTTGTACACTATAAAAATATTATTATGTTTATATCTGTTACAGTCAATTGAAATGGTAAAAGTAGGTCAAATTGGGACATTATCTTTTATAAATAATTATTAAAGCACATTTTTATTACCAAATTATAAAATTTAATGCGAAACACATTGATAATTCTTAATATAGTTATTAATATCTTTAAAGGCTTATCCTTGTGAGGATGCTACTATAAAATTAACAGAATAAATTAATATGACGACATTTTATTTAATTTGCTTTTCTTTTTTCTTCATTCTAAAGTTATCACTATGGTTTCCTGTCTTCTAGGTCAATGTAAAGTACTGTTTTGTTTACTTTTCCCTAGTCTTCTTCCCTAATTTTCTTCTGCTGCATATTCTCCACATTGCTGTATGGTATGGAGTGCTGAATCCTTACAGAGACATTAATGAAAAAATTGGAAGCCTTTAAGATGAGGATTTATGGGATTTATCGACGAGTATTGCGGATAAGTTGGGTTGATCGAATAAGAATTTAAATAGTTTTACATCGAATGAAAAAGAGCACAGAAATAACAAAAACGATAAAAATTCGAAAGTTACAATATTTCAGTCGTGTAATGAAACATCCAGAGAGGTAAAACCTTCTACACCTCCTAATACAGGCTTAGAAGGAGAGGCCCAGGCCGAAGAAGAACATCCTAGCTTTGAAATCTAAGAGAATAGTATCAATAGACCACCGCTAATTTATTTAGAGCTGCCGTAAACAAAGTTATTATTGCCACTACCGTTCGATAATCGGACAGAATACTGAAAGAAGAAGAAATCTGTTTT